TCTTTACTCATATTCGCTCTGAATTAAAAATGAATTGGTAGATTAAATCATAAAATTATTCACATGAAAATCAACTCTAATAATATATTATATATAATAATATTTACTAAAAATTGTTCTCCAAATCTAAATAAATAAACTTAATGATGTAAATGAAAAATTTTTTATGACAGAGCATTACTTGCATCTAGAACTTTAGCTAAAATATACATCTGTGAATAATTCTTTAAAAATTAATATCATTAAATTATCTGAAACTTGCAAATACATTTTGTATAAAATGCTATTATCCTTTTCTTTAATTTTAAAATAAATTTATATTATTTTAAAATTTCAAATAAAGATCAAAAAAAAAAGTTCAAACCAAAATATCTTGTATAGATAGTTTAATAAGCTTCTGGTTCAAATATTCTTATTTACTAAAATGTCTTTAACAAAGATATAATGTGTCTAAAGTTTTAAATTACCAAAGTTATCACATTACAATTTTAGGGGTAGCTTCTTTCATAATAAATATAAATATCAATTTAATACAATTTCAGATACATCTTTTAGAATATAAATAAATTTTAGTAAATTTTTAAATTATTTAAATTTCAATAATAAATCTTGATATTATAAGTATCTGTTCTGTTCATCTAACTTTATAATAATTTAAACTAATATTTAATTTGATACTTGTTACTAATGATATAGTAATGCGTATTGTTAAAGTTGATAGGTACTTTACAGAAAATTTGTTTTCTTACTATGCAGCAACTGCATAGTACCTATTAGGCTATGATTAAGCTATTACTAAGTAAAATAGTAACTATATATTTATTATATAGTCACTTTGCAGTTACTGCATATTAAGAAAACTAAGTTTCTATAAAGTAAGAATTGATGTAACAACTATTATTATTATTATTGAATCAATGTTGATGTTTTAGTTAAAGAAATTTCCATAAGTTATAATGATAACAATTTGTCTAAATTTGCATAATATAAATACATTTAGTAATGAATTTATCATTAAAAAAAATTACATCACAATCATATATCTTTAAGAAGATTTCATACTATTAATAAATAATAAGATCAATCAGAATTAGCATATATTATTCAGCAGACTTGTCCAAGAAATATTTAAATATCAATAATATTAAATATGAATATCCTTTTTTTAAGACAAAAAGTGTTTTTTTTATTGCTTTGAAAATTCTAAGTTTATTATTGAGCTGATAATATCGGTGAATTAATGATAAACTATTTGTTGTTATTATATATAAAAGCAGTTTCCATTTTCACTGCCTAGCTCAGTTAAAGTAAAGCATCCAACAAAATGATGTTCACGCTAGGAATAATATATCTATGATGGTAGTTTACCAATAAAGTTATATTGAATTATTTATCGTCAATTACGGAGATGAAAAACTAAAAGTTTTTCAAGAAATAAATTAAAAACCATGCAAACTGAAAGGAAATGTTTTCTAAAAAATTTTTGATTTGAGAAAGCAAACCAATTAAACTAACTAACTGTAAATAGAAATATAAAAAGTGGGAGTGTATATCACATAGGAAGATCAATAACTGCGGATTTTCACTGCGCAATACATGTCGATCATCAATCTAACCTGTAAGAAAGGGGATTTATTCAAGGTATTATTCATTCAAAATGATAATGGATTCTTTTGAAATATGAAATAAATAGAATGAATAAAAGGAATCTTAGGGCCTGTTCAATTGTATAATGCACGTAAAATTCGAGCTGATAAACTTAATGATGCTCCTCGCTTACAAAAATTAACCACTAAATAAAATTTAACTGTGCCTCCGATGTTTCTTGTCATATCAATTTATTACGATCGATATTATTTATTACCATAAATAATCCGAAAAATAAAATCTTTCACTTACGATTTTTCTATTGTAGATTCTATAGTTTTTGATCGACAATTAGGCATTTTTTTACTATCCTAATTTTTTCCTTCTCTATATGTTGCACATAAAGATTTGCAATCATGCGGAAAGCCAAAAATCATTGTCCCTGAACCACATTTCCATTATTTGGGTTGATTGCTAGGAAAATCAGGTTCCGGGGATTTTTTTATTTTCTTTTTAAAAAAAATTTTAAAAATTTAATCTGAAAATAAAATAAAATAAAAAATATCAATTTCACTTAAGTTTAATTCAGCAACAATTATTGTAATACTCTTCAAGAGCAGGTGATTTTAATACATTAAAATAAGACTATACAAATGCTTTTACGCTATTTTTTTTTTTTTTTTTATATTTTACATGTACTAATCGCGTAATACTTACAAAAATTTTTTGAAAAAACTGATACGGGCGGGCTATGAGAATCTAAAATAATCTATTTGCCAGGCCTAATGTGTAGCAATTTTTAGCATTCATTTTTCCGGTTTTTTTTTCTAATCGAGTCGCAGCGATCAAATATTTTTATTTTCCGCGCTTTTCTCATTTTTTCTTAAAGTTTCTCTTTCGAGTTGGATCATTAGGTAAGGAATTTTTTTTGAATTTTTTGAATTTTTTTTTTTTTTCGTTTTATAGTTCTTGATATTTCGCTACTATTTTTTTTTTCTACAAAAGAAAATTATATTATAAAGATGACAAGTGGCCTCCATATTTTTATTATAGCCGCTGCGCTACTAAAATAGATTCAATTTTTTTTTTTTAGATTTTATAATGGATTAAAGTAAGTACGGAAATGGAGATTCGTTTAATTTGGGTGATACAATAAAAAAATCTTGTTAAAAAAAGAACTGCGTAAAGTAATTTCAAAATTAGAAAACTATGATTTATAATATTAATTTGACGAAATTGTCTTACTGGAATTTGGAACTTTTTTTTTTTAAAAAAAAAAACACAATAGTATTTAATACCATATTGAAAATTCGTGATGTGTATTTTTGTTTCTTTTTATTTCAGTTTTCCATTTGATTTGATTTTCACGAGGAGAAAAATGTTTAAAATTATATTATAAAGAAATTCTCATTTAATACGACGATTTGGTAAGTTTAAGTCTATTATGTATATTTATAGCAGAGAGGGATTTATCATGTCATGACGAAATTAAAATTATTTTTACGATATTAAAGTTGCTTTGCTTTTAATATTGCTTAAAGTGTTTATGTATAAATATAGCAAATAAATGATTGATTATCGGCAAAAATGCAAAAACTTTTACTTTGCTCTCACTATACTATAAATAAAATTAATAATAATGATATCTGTGTGCCAAAAAACGAGAACATTTATTGAATAAAAAAAAAATATTAACAGAATAAAAATGCAATGTTATGATCCCTACAAAATTTAATAGCAGGTTCATATTATGATGAACAGCCAATTTCATGTAATGAAGAGCTTTTTGTTCATCCTTCTTGCCAGCAATGCCATTATAATACAGATGTCCTACATTATACATCGCTACCTTAAGACCATTATCCGCAGCTTTTTCAAAATATTTGAGAGCTTCTGAAAGATTCTTTTCAACACCTTTGCCATTATATAGACAATCTCCATATCTAAATTTCGCTTCAGGAACTTCATTTGCTTCATCATGATCAGCGACTTCTTTAAATAATTTCGCGGCAACTTTATCTCTTTCCTTAGGGCTAAGATGTAATTCATCGAATTTTTTTGAAATGTAATATGCCTTATAATATTTAGCTTTGATTTGATCATATTTTGAATAAGCATCGAAACATCTATACGCAGCGATGTTATCTCCTTCATTTTCACATTTATGTTGCTTTACTGCTTCAGACATTGTCATGTAACTGAATGATGTAAAATCTGGCAACTTATCTTCTTGATCAATTTTGAATGATCGTTTCGGCTTTGACAATTTAAAATTTTGGTTTGGTGAAGGAACTGAATAAATAGATTTTGATGAAGAATTATACGGATATCTTTTGAAACAATTTCCAAGAACTTTAACCATATCAGTAAGATTTGGGTCTAAAATTTGGATCGGGATTAACAGCTAAAGAACAGAAAGTACAAAAAAAAAAAATTTAAATTTTGCAAAAAAAAATCTCAAAAATAAAAGTAATTTTTACATACCATTATGGCCAATTTTTTGAATTCTTCGGGGATTCCGCTAATTTTAGAAAATGGTTCACGATATTTTTTCTTCCGTACAAGGTTGGATATATACAGAATATCATCAGATTCTTTATACGGAATTCTCGCTTCAGCGATTTCCCAAAGTAAGATTCCAAAGCTTAAAACTTCACACTTGTGATCATATTTGAAATCTGGAGCCCTCTCCAACAACTCGGGAGCACACAATAGCGAACGCGTTCCAAATTTACACCATGATTTAATGTATCATCACTTGAGACCGACTTAATTTAAAATTTGCAAGTTTCGCTTTTTCATCTAATGTAATTAAATATTCTTGGATCTAATATCACGATGCACAATCTAAAAAAAAAAAATCTCAAATTAATCAATTTTAAACTAAAAGAGTTAAATTTTGAAGCAATTAAAATAAATATTTACATCAACAGATCTTAGAAAATTTAATCCACGAGCAATATCAAGGGATATTCGTAATTTTAATTTCATATCATATCGATCTTTATGATTTGTATAAAATTCGCGTAAATTTCCAAATTCAGCCCATTCTATTACCAAATAAATTATATTCGAATGATTGACCAGTCCATAAATATTTATAATATTTTGAATATCTTGACAATATTGAAATTCTTTAAGAATTGTAACTTGATTTTGTATACTATTTTTGTCATCTTTTGCATTAGAAATATTCTTGAATGCAAATTCTTGACTTTGATCTTTAACAGCTACCCATTTAGTCACACTCTGCCGCGGTTCAACATGAATTTCTTTATAATCCGTAAAATTTAGCTTATGAACCCGGAAAATTTTATCGATTTTCTTTTGATCATGTATAGAGTTAATTCTCCCGCTTATTAATCTGCCCATTGTATTATGCATTGCATTGACTTTAACCACCATTGAGGAAACTACTTTCTAATTTTCTTGACATCACCAATTTCTTTTTCAATTTTCATTTCTTCGAGAAACTATGATTATGAAATAATTTAACAATCTTGCCTGAATCGAAAAATTCGAAACTCGAGAAATTAATTTTTAAACTCACTTTATTTAAGTCAACTTGGTCGGCTTTGAATTGTTTAATTACTTCTTCAACACGAATTTGGAGGAATTTTCATGAATTGATACATTCATCGAGTTTTGAACAAAGCTCATCAAAACTTTTCTCAATACTGCCTGCTTGAATATACTTTATTAAAGTTTTCATTTGAGAAATTTTCTCCAGCGAATTTTTTAATTGGTATGATTACATTGACTAAAATTTGCAGTCCCAAATAATTTTTTTCATTAAAAATTTCTTGATTATTTTTTGAGACTTTGAGATCGAGCGCGGCCATGAAAACATAATGAATTACTCGTAATAATGCAGCACAAGTTCGTTTATAATGTTCGGCAACTATTTCAATGTCAAGCATCTCATTAAAAGCAGTTTCAATTTCTGAGATCAAAAGATGAAATTTTGTAATTGGAACAGCGGCTATGGTGATTTCTTGCTTTGGACTTTCTTGAACATTTTGATCATCTGCTTTTAATACCGTTGATCCTAATATATACGTATAATTATATTTTAGTAAAATAAAGGAAAGATTTTACATTGGGGGGGGGGGGAGAATACCTTCTGAACTAATCAACCGAACATCATCATCATCTTTAGAGTGTTGCTTGATCATACTTTGAATGTCAATCAGCTTATTAAATACATGAAACGGTTTGTATTTCAAATTGTCGTAAGTTAAAGTAAATCCAAATAAGTCTAAAAGACACATCGTTCTTCCATGATCAATCTTTAATGAACTTCCATAATCTGAGCGTAAAATACAGACATATAAGTCTAAGTCTATAATGATGTTGTTATCGTTTTCCCGTGATTATCATTTTCCTCCTCGTGTTGAGAGTCAGTATCACCGTCTGAACATATCTCGGAAACTTTCATGATTGTTTCATTATATTGAAATTCATACAATTATATGACCAATCGACTAGCCTAATATTATAAAAATTTGTTGATGAAAAATTTGTGCCAATAAGTATACTATATCCATGTGACAAAAGAAATTGAGCTTCGATATGATATATTGATTTGTTTGGTTGCAAAGTGATAGACTTTTTGATACTTTCTACTTGAATTTCTCGATTATTTGGGCTAAAAACCGATAATTTTAAAGGATTTCCGACTATCATCCATAAAATAGAACAACCTTCAATATTAATACTTGATTCCCTTAAAGGAATCATCATCGCAGAAAATCCATTAACATCATAAAATCCAAATTTTACAAGTAATCTTCCACCTTATTGTTTCCCATAACAACTGATCCATATACTTTATAGCTTTAATCATCCAAAGATGGTTCTATGAACATACGTTTGTAATGCTCGTTATCTAAATCTTTCAAATCAGTGATTCCAGTCATTATAATTTTTAAATTTTCTTGATTATTATTATTTGTCACTATATTGATTTTCTTCTTTTGTTCTGACCCAAGAATATCATACAAAGAAATTAATTTATCATACTCTACTATTTCCAAACCATTATGGTTGGCATTGCTAATCCAATTATATAAAGAATCTTTTTCAAGTATATTTCCTGTTTGCGTAATGAAATGCGAAAGTTTGAATTTCTTAAAATATGAATTTAAAGATTCAAGTATTGGTAACTTTAAAATAAATCTTTTCAAAAGTTTCAAAATAGGTGGTGATTATTATATTTTGAGAGATTTTCCCAAGACTATTCTTAGGGGAAAGAAGTTCTTATATTCATTAAATACGTTTTGTAAGGCATTTAATGGTTTCATTTCATTAAGCGCTTTTTCTATGGCATTACAAAACTCCAATGAAGGTTCTAAATGATTCTTATTGATAAGAACTTCGTATTGTTCACACTTTATTATAAATTGAATAAAATAATTCATGTAATCTGTCTCGTTATCATCAATTTTGATAAATGGAAAGGCTCAGTGTTTTTAATTGTAATCAAAAATTCCTCAACTTTTGTCGTTGGATTTATCATTTCAAAATAAAAGTTGCCAACCGAATTCACTTGAGGAACTTGAATAATATTCATGGCAATTTTCTTGCTACTCTCCACTTTATGGGATTGAATTACAAGGCCTTGAAATATACGAAACTCTTTTGATCCATCTTATTAAGTCAACGTATTCGGTATTACCGATCTTACTGATCCACCTTTCCAAATTCAACCTTTTTTTCAAAATTAGCGATTCCCAAATATCTTTCATCAAAATTCTCGTAATTTTCATCTAACTTTCCATTTTTTAACTGGGTGATCGAAACGAGTTTATCATAAGAAATAATATCAATAATATTTTCTTGATATAAACTAACCAAACCAATTAGATAATTTTTTAGGGGTACCTAAATTTACACCATTTGACGTTTCTATTCTCGGTAAAAAGTTCAATCCAAAAGAATTATTATTGAATGAGTTTTCATCATCTTTAGCTGAATTATACGCCCAAATTAAATAAAGTTTTAAAATATCCTTTTGTATCGAAGAAGCTAAATTGAAATCTTTGATAAATATCTGTCCTCCGACTAAAATCTTATATGCAAAAACGTGACCGTATAATTCATGAATATTTCCCCATCTGTAAAGTTTTAAAAGAATCCGATAGATCGGTTCTATAAGTGATCTCAACAACCGGGAAATTAACGCACACGTCCGACTTTAATTTTTCAAAATCATCATCATTCTATTTGTTAATGGTGAATAAATTTATGGAATATTGGGATTATTTACGCTGATATAGGCCATAGGCTCTCCATTATATAAATCAATGCACAATTTATCGTCATCAACGATAAAACAGATCGTTCATTTGATTGCATGCTACATCCATCCAAGATTAAACCATGATTCAACTTCCACTTTTCTATTATTTGCTGCTTTGTTGGATTTGTATCTATTTTTCATTTGATTTTTTTTTGGAAATATTAATATATAATAAACATTTAGTTTTTGGTTATAAAAATAAATAAGTAAACTGACCAATTTGTTTTTCGTCTTCCAAAAGTAAAATCCCAGATAGTTCCTCTAATCTCTTCTTAGCTTTATGATTATTATTTCAGAAGATTTATTATACCATTCCATAGCTCCTCTTATCGTGACAATTCCATATTCATACAAACAGCAACATTATATTGTGCATCATTGTTGTCAATGGATGTCCCAAAGCCATTAAAGTAACAATAACACAACATAATAATGCCATGAGAATATTCCCCTTTTGCACTAAGACTATAATAATAAAAGGTATAATCTTTATTAACATAAATTCCTAGTTGATAAATTTTCCAATCTGACATTGTGCAAGCGTCATTATACCAATAAAAAGCCATATCATCACTTTTTTTCAGTTCCAACACCTTCATCGTAACAAGTTCCTAACGCAAATTTACCTACTATACCTCGATGTTGTTTAGCGCATTTGTTATACAATTCAAATGCTAGTAGTTTATTAGTTGTAACACCTAATCCATTTTCATAATATTTTCCTAGACAATATTGAGAAACAGGGTGACTTGATGATGCTTGTTTTAAAATAGTTATATGCTTTGCCAGCATCTAAAACTGTACCAAATCCCGAATAGTTCAAATATCCCATTAAAAATACGTGATCTAAGTTTGTAATTTTATTTTCACCTAGCCAGGCACAAATTTTTTCAATCGTGATGTTGTGCAATGATAAACTATTGCTCAGAATCGAATGACGCAGTTCACGAGATTTTCCTTTATTTATTGCCTTCACCAATAGCGCTACCAATCCATTAGCCATTTCTGAATAACTTTGACTTTCATTAATTTGATCGTAAATCTCTTCTTGATCTTAACAATGCTCGCAATCTTGCAACTACTTGCTTGATAGTTGGTCTATTATCCGGTTCATGATCCCAACATTCTAAATAAAAAAGAAAATAAATAAATTAAAATAAATTAAACTAAATATAATACATATATATATTATTATTATTATTTATTTACCTGAATAAAGCATAATATAATCATATGATGTACCAAGAATTGGTTTTTCCTTTTCTCCAAGTGATAATTGTGTAAGGGTGGCCGACCACTTGATATCTCCCATAAGATCATTCCAATACTATAGATATCACTTTTTTCATTGAGAATATATTGAGGGCTTTTAAATGCCTGTGGATCCACATAATGACGCTTAATACCAATTTCTTTTGTTGATAATCCAAAGTCCGCTAATTTAATGGATTTTTTGTGAACAAATATACTATCAGAGTTCTGTTATAAAGCAAAATTTACAATTAATTATATAACAATTTTTTTTTTTTAATAAAAGAATTATTATTGTTATATAGATTACCAAGACACAATGAATAATTCCTTCTTCATGCATTGATACGTCAGATCATATTTATCATTTCAATCAAGGATTTGGAAATTATGGTTCAAATAATTTTTTAGCGAACCACCATCAGCATGTTCTAATACCTTCGCGTATTGGTTTTCATCTATTAAATCAAATATAATTATAAATTTAAAGTTAAAAGTGAAAATATAAATATACATTCGATCAAGGTTCTTTCAAGCAAAAGAAAATAATTTACAAATGTTTTAAACACGTCTGTTACTATTGTTCGTTGATTTGAGAATGTTGGGTCGAGGACGTTAAATAACCTGATTTTGTAATCCCGTAAAACCGAATAATATTGTCAAATAACTCAGATTTACGATAAAGTTCAAGCTATGTGGCAAATACGTAATAGTTATTATTTCAAAAAAAAATTTTTATATAATGACAATATAAATATTGCATTTTACCTCATTATCAAATTCCTTTATAATATTATCATTTTTAAGACTAAAAATTTAAAAACGAAAACTTTATTAGTACTTTTCCAATTTGCACGGTAGACTTCAGAGGATCCATCAAAATTAATTTTATTGAAATCTTTGAAATCTTTGTATTGATAACATCTGATACTTTTTTCAGGAATTAAATTTTCGATATATTTCATCCATGAAGTGAGAGACATGATTTAAAATTATATTTTTAATGACAAACTTTACATCATGATTTTATATCACTGTCGATCTTAACTGTATTAAGCTTTCCGAAATTCCAAATATTTTAAAAAGAGATTAAATTTTAAGAACCTTTTGGATGAAAAAGCAAGAGGAGATGAAGCGGAGGTTATTATAGAAGATATAGAAGAAAGTCA